GAGCAAGTGTGAGAAAAATTCCTGCCTGCAGACATGAAACGGCCCCCCCCCCACACCAAAAATAAAAAACAGTACACAAGAAATCTCACCATGTGCTTCAACATCCACCAACACACAAATTTATTCCGTGTTTTTCAGAATCACAGAATTATGTTCTTGTGGTTCATAACCTTAACTTCTGTGTTGTGGATCAATGCATTGTAAAGAGATATTAGATCTCTTTACAATGCATTGATCCACAACACAGAAGTTAAGGTTATGAACCACAAGAACATAATTCTGTGATTCTGAAAAACACGGAATAAATTTGTGTGTTGGTGGATGTTGAAGCACATGGTGAGATTTCTTGTGTACTGTTTTTTATTTTTGGTGTGGGGGGGGTCCATTTCATGTCTGCCAGCAGGAATTTTTCTCACACTTGCTCCTTGTTGTTTTTAATCCAAAAGGTAAAAAACTAAACATTGCTTGGAAAACAGGTGTTCGTGTATTGTACAAAGGTGGTCTGTGTTTTATCTCCATGATTTTCATTGATTTAGGAATTCAGCATAAGAGCATGAGTCAAAGAGATTCTCAATAGGGCAGCATCTGGGCTGTGGGTGAGGAACATGTTGAAAATAAAGATTCTTTATTTCTAAATAAAGTAGACATCAGCAAGTCCCAAAGCCATACAATATTTCCATGTATCCCTCTCAGTCTGAAGAAAGGACAAACTGGCCATATAGTAATAGTATTCTTCCTCAGTCTCATATTATTTGGCCAACCTTCCTAAGGAATTATAGGAGTTAAAAGTCCTAACAAATCTGGAATAAATTCCTTGTTTTTTTTAAAGAAGTATTTGGCAGGGATAATAACATGAAAGCCCAATGTTCAGCATGTGATAAGTATCCCTGTGGGAATACGGTGCATCTTATAAAATTGTAGGCCCTTTTTGCCAACCACTGATTCAGAAATGCCACCTGCACAGCTTTTAAGCTTTTCTCCTCAGTCATAAGTGCCAGAAACATTTAAAACACAGCAGTTCCTGTTGTTTAGGGATTCCCAGGAAGGAAAAAAAGAAAGAGGTGCCAGTGTACTCACAGTTGCCCTAAGATGTCAGTCTATACTTTTTAACTCCGGACCTCAGATAAAAAAGACATTTCTTCAGCGCTGCAATCCAGCGATCTTTCCTTTTACGAGCTGCAAGGGTCTTTTGTATTATGCTTTGGAATGAAAGGAGAGCGGCTGTTAGCTGCAGAAGAAGTGAGAGGGAACCCTTAAGTGCCTGGCAAGCTGTGTATTGTGGGTTAGGGAGTGCACGG